GCCCGAGGGGCCGCGGAACGGAGCTTCCCCCGGCGCGGAGCGGCGCGGCCCCGGGGGGGAGCGGGGCCCCCGGGCCACCTTGCCCCTCGCCGGGCGCCGTCGCCGCCAACTCCCGGGACTCCGTGTTTGGGGGAGGTAATAAAGCCCACCCCACCCACAGCCCCGACTGCAATGTTTGTCACTGCTTGCCCATCACTGGGGGTTGAGAGGAGTATGACAGGTCTTTGTTGTCTGAATAAAAATCAGTGGCAGCGCAAGGGAGAGAACTCCTCCTACTAAATTATCAAAAATGGGCTGGCTTTAGTCTCTTAACAAATTGGACAGAGCTCCGGAAAGCAGCAGTCCCAAATCCAACCTACAGGCACTGGGAACTTTAAAGCAACCAGGGACTGCTGAAAATAGCACTTCTTTTTGCTTTCTTTGTATTCAAAACTATATCCTTTCCCGACCGATTCTACTGCCCCCGGTCCAAGTCTCGCCAGTCAGGAGCCCCAGCTCTCCAGAGCAGTAACAGACCCTTTAGCTCGCTTTTATTATTTTATTTTTAAAATTAATTATTATTATTACATTTTCTCCCCCTTGTTTGTTTTCCGCACATCTTCAGGAAGCCCTCGGTCCTTGTGCAAAGAGAAGCTCCTATTGCAACCTCCCTCCCTGCGCTGTGCGCCTCGGTGTAAACATTTTGGATGATCTAAAGACTCTGGGGTCTGTATATGGAAATAGTGGGGTGCAGAGCAGAAGAAAATACTTGTCCTTTCCGTCCCCCAGCCATGCTTTTCCACGGGATCTCCGGAGGCCATATCCAAGGAATCATGGAGGAGATGGAGAGGCGATCCAAGACCGAGTCCCGCCTGGCCAAAGGGGGACAGATGAACGGCCGAGAAACGGTAAGAAAGGAGCCGGCACTCTTGGACAGGGAACCCCTGCAAGCACGGGCCCGCGCCGGGACAGACCCTGGCTTCGGGGAGGAGAAAGGCGCTGCTTCCCCCTGCCCCTTCCCTGCCACCCCTTGCTTGCAGAGACCCTCCCGGGGCTCCCCGTGAAGCCGCCCGTAATGCCGGGGGCTGTGCTGGCCGGGCTCCCTTACACCTTTGCCTGATCAATGTCGTCGCGTGTGCTCTCTGGAGCAACGGGGGGAAATATTTTAAATCGCAGCAGGGACGGGGTTTCAGTCCTTACAGCGAAGCAGCCTTTTGCCCCGGCTCGGCTCGCTGCGGCCGCTCTGCCCCGTCCGAGCAGGGCTGCAGCGGGAGTTTCGGAGGTGTACTTTATTTGCTTTGCCCTCCCGGCACCTCCTAAATTAAACCGCAAACCGCGACCGCTTACTTTTCGTAACCATTTTTGGTCTGAAGTGTGGGATTGACACAAAGAGGCACCGCTCGCTCTGAATGCTGTGCCCGCCGACTGCTTTGCTTAGCAGTAACATCTCCTCTTTTATTAGTCAAAGGACCAAAGTCTTCATAAATGCACTAACGGACGGCGGAGAACGCGGGTGCCACGCTGTGTTTTGTGCAAAGCCAGATTCCCCCTTTCTCCAACTTGTAGGGCTTCCGCCGGTGGCACGCAAGGCTCCGCGCACAAAGTAACGGCCTGGAAAGCTGCTTTAGGGCTTTGAGCCGCAGGGTCCTTCCCCTTTCTCTTAAATAAACTCCCGCTTTGTTATATGAGGATTTGCAATGTAAATTCAACTCGCCTTTTCAATTGCTGCAAAAAAAAAAAAGGGGG